AGAAATATTTCAATACAGTTATCTGTTTTTCTCTTTTTGATCACTGATTGACCCAATTGTTTTAATTTGGATTTGTGCCACTGTGAAACAAGGGTAGATAACAGGACTGATGATTTGCACACTGTTTTTGTCATATCTTAAGAGATAAGTGTAAATTTTGCTTAGTGTAAAACTTCTAACATATAGTTTTTTATCAACAAAAATATCAGTGCAAATTTCATATCCTTAGTGTGAGCACAGGAAAGTAAGCAGGCTTCCATCAGTAGTTCTCTTGCCAATTGTTTATTCTTCCCAACTCCTGCCTTCTCTCCTCCAATCAAAATGGTTGATACTGCGAGCATTCTCCCATTTTCCCGTGTCTGAAGTTTCTGAGTAATATAATTTCTTCCCTAAAATATTTTATATTTTAAGATGTCGACCGAAAATAAGTATGTATCATTTTTGGTGTTCTGAACAAAAAATCTGGTTAAAGTCAGCGTCCGGCCCAGTGTAGACAGTTATTCTACTACCTTTAAGCTTTTCTTACACCCTTCCATGTCCTTCCTACTGAAAACTATAGCTTTCTCTCCAAACTCCAAGTGCAGGTTTAAGGCTAACTGATTGTATACTTTGTATTCTTTTAAACAAAACATTTGCCTGGTAACAAGCAACTCTGAAAAAGTAAGAATAGAAAGGACACTATGTTTAATTTTTAATAATGGTGGTACTCTATTTTTCCTTTATCATCATATACAAGAATGAGAAAGAGAATACTACTGTCGTTTTCACATATACTTAAACAAATTTTATGTTGTTTTTATTGAGGTAAAAGATACATATAAAATTTGCCATTGTACGATTTTTAAGTGTACAGTTCAGTGGTAATAAATGTATTTATATTCTTTTTTCCCTTCATCTGCCGCTCCCTGCTTCTCTTCCAGGCTTCTGGAAAGCACCATTCTACTCTCTGTCTTCGTGGATTCCACTTTTTGATCTCCCACATATCAGTGAGAACATGCAATAGTTGTCTTTCTATGCTTGGCTTATTTCACTTAATATAATGGCCTCCAATTCCGTCTGTGTTTCTGCACACGGCAGGATTTCATTCTTTTAGGGCTGAATATTTATGTATCTCCATTATGTAGATACACCACATTTTCTTTATCCATTTATCCATTGATGGCCTCTTAGATTGATTCCATATTTTGGCTACTGTGAATAGTGTTGAAATAAATATGGGAGTGCACAAATCCTTTCAATATATTAATTTCCTCTTCCGGATATATACCCAGTAGTGGAATTTTTTGAGGAACCTCCATACTGTTCTGTATGGTGGGTATACTAATTTACATTCCTTGTAACCCTGTATATGAGTTTCCCTTTCTCCACATCCTTGCCAGGATCTGTTATTGTCTGTCTTTTTGATATAAATCATTGTAACTAGAGTGAGACAATATCTCATGTGGTTTTGATTTGCATTTTTCTGATTAGTGATTTTGAGCATTTTGAACCTCTAGCTAGCCTTCCCACAGTGCCATAATAATACCTTTGGGATCCCTTCCACGTATGCTTTTCAAATGGACAATATACACTGGAAATAACCTCTTAATTACATCACCCAAAGCAAGCTCCATGAAGAACTCTGGCTTTTTGTTTGACTGATTTTGAAGCAGTTCTGATAAACCTTTTTAAGCAAACAGCTGGAATTTTATGCTTTTTCCCTTTTCTGAAGTGACTGTCACAGCAAATCTCATCTCATTCTAGTGATTAAACTGAGATTTTATGCTTTATTTTTCCATTAAGAAAGCTTAAAAATCTTCACATTGTAAACTTAAGCTGAAATGTGAAATTTACTCATTTAGTTTACTTATTTTATCCATTTTGTAAACTCGTTGATAACAATAAGCAATACAATTAGATAAATATTTTATAAGGAATAAACTCCAGTGTGACTACTAAATAACATTAATCAGCCAACAATGTTTCTAACAAAAATATGTGCATATTTGAAATAAATGCACTTATGGAAAAAAAAAATGAGAATTTAAAAAGTATTTAGAGAAATACGTGAACTTCCTCAGAAAACCTGCTTCAGGTCACATCAGTCATGGAAACTTCTCTGTCCAAGTGTTGTAGCTCTTTGAATATAATGAAACGCAGAAAAGAAGATTTGGGGCAAGGCAAATTTTAGATTAATTTATGGATAAAAAAAAAAAAACACATAGTCTTAACAAGTTAAGGAAATCACCAGATATTCACCAGATATTTTGAATTATTAGTTGCTGGTTAAACATCTGCATATGTATCCAAACTTTTGGTATCTACATCATTGTACAATAAAATAACAATCCTAAACTAAGAGATAGAAAAGTCAGATTCCACCACCAATTGATTTAAACATGGCAATACTGGACTCACTTTCTTCTTCTTATTATAAACCTTCAATATCTAAGCTTCTGTTAAATTCTTTATTTATATATTATTTACACAAATATAGCCAGATGAATGAACAGATGTTAAAAGTACATTTGATTTGGTGATGAGTTATTGATTTTTGTGTGTAAATACTTATCAACATAGAATCATTTCTTATCACTTAGTATTCTTTGTACACAAAAGTGAACAAGAACCAGTACACCAATCAAGGACTCTGAAAAAATTACACTAGTCTTGATTTCTAATTTCAGTTTTTTGCATAATTGAAAATGGTGATATCAAATGCATTAGTTAAATATTAAACCATAGTTAACAGAAAAGTTTCCTAGACTATCTCTATTATTATATTTCTTCATAAAGTGATTTTTTCCCAAATTGTCAGAGTAAAAAAAATTTGTGTAAAGTATATAATACTTGTCTCAGCGCTTATTATAATAAAGAAAATATTTAGTTTTCCTATTAGAGGATGATTTTTAAAAGTATGGTGTTTTCATGTCATGGAATAATTTGTAGGGATTAATATAATGTTTCTGTATATTTAATAATGTGGGAAATGTTGACAATATACTATTAAGGAGATAAGGAATCCATAGTTCTTAGGGAGTGTGATACAAGTTATCTATGAGTGTGTATACATGTGAATCCAATGGATTTGTGATATCACTGTGATTTCCTTACAGTATTCCTAAACTTTCTATCAATAGTGTTTCAGCTCAGAATATGCTAGGCATTAGGGAGTTTGGTTGGAGCAAAATGCAGAGTTATGGTTTGACAGATGGTGTCCCCTCCAAAGTTCATATTGAAACTTAATCCCCAATACAACACTTAATCCCCAATACAACACTTAATCCCCAATACAACATGATTAAGAGGTGTGGCCCTAGGGAGGTGATGAAGTCATGAGGGCTCTACCCTCATTAATGAGTTTAACACCCTTGTAAAAAATGGCTAGAAGTTGAAGAGAGCACTCTCTGGCCCTTCTGTCCCTTCTGTCACGTAAGAACATAGTGTTCCCCTACTCCTGAGGATGCAACGACAAAGTGTCATCTTCGAAGCAGAGAGCAGCCCTCACCAGAAAGTGCCAGACCAGACACTAATTCTGCTGGCACCTTGATCTTAGACTTCCCAGCCTTCAGAACTCAGAGAAATAAATTCATATTATTTGTAAATGACCAAGTATCAGATATTTTCTTATAGCAGTACAAACGGGCTAAGACACACACAAAAGTACTTAGTTACAAAAAGGAAAGAGGTGAAGGGAGAAATATGGAGCATTGGTTCTTAGGAAAGTATAACAAGGAGAAAACTATATCAGACTTTTATAACTTGTGAACAATTATTAAGGAACAATTTATTAAGGAAATCAGTGATGCTAAAGAAGAGTGCAATAAAAGTGGAAAATTCTGCAGTTAGTCAGTTTGGAGGCGTGGATAGTGTTTGTTACATATTATTCAAAGGGTGAGCCCTGAAAGCTGACCTGGACTCATGTGCATTGTGTAAAAATATAGGCTAATTTTCTTTGGCTGCCAACTACCCCAAAAGCAAATTTCTTGAAACATAATACTGTATTTTATTCATTGCCTCCTTGAAAGAATGTTATGTTATTTCAATTCATGGTCTTCATTTATTTTTTACTGACCATATGACAAAACTTTTTGTCCCTACATCATGATCAATAACTATATAAACTCAGTTTTTCCCAGATTTTACTGGTTGTTTCTATGTTTTAAAAAGTGGCAGAAATCAAATAAGCAGACATGATCTAATCCTGGTCTACAGTTTTTCTATTTATCTGAATAAATTTATGGGACAAAAATGTAATGTTGTTACATGGATATATTGTGTAATGGTGAAGTCAGGGCTTTTAGTGTATCCATCACCTGAATAACACACAATGTACCCATTAAGTAACTTTTCATCATCCCCCTGGACTACATTTAACATATTTAAAGCAAAGTTGATATGAGAAACGCATTTCAATATTTGTGATGACTAGCTTTAAAGGTTGCCAGATTCAGTGAGGTCACCATAGACAAGAACATACATGTCATCAAAGTCAAGAACCTTACTAATTCTTCCATTTAGTGGTGACAGATTATAGAGAATGTGTTCATGCTACCAAAAGTTAGATAACATTGAATTATGTTTAATGGCAAATTTATATAAAGACCCAGGTCAAGAGTTATTCAGGAGCTAACAGCATTCTATTGAGATAGCTGTATTCAGAAAATCCATTCACATTATAACATGACAGCTTCCAATATAGAAAAATTGAGTAAACATACTTGCAGACTGTCAAACAAACCAAAACAAATACACTGTAATAGTCATATGCCATTAGGAAAACTTAGTCCTTGAATTTTGCTGCATAAAGAATAAACCATTCGTATTCCACTTCTTCTTATAAAATCAGCGAGCTTCCTACCTTCAGAATTAAAAATTGCAACACATTATTTCTTCGATTCCTAATTTCTACATTCCTGAGTACATTATCTGTCCTAATGACAGTCATTACTCTTGTTCTTTGAATGAACTTTAAGCCTCTTGTGTTAATTTCATTTAGACTCAATTTTCTCCTGTCTGACCTGCTGTGTTGACTATTTTCACATTCCATTCAGATGGCTTCTTGTCTTTCAACATCTGTAACTTTTTTTCTCCATCTTCTTTATTATTTTCTTGGCATCATAATATACTTGGATATAGAATGAAGCATATGTGTAATTTGTTAATGAATAGAGATCTTGATTTCTTCTTACTTCATTCTGTAAAATACATTTATTGATTTACAGGCAGGAAACAGGTAAGTACAATAATTTTTATTTATCTATTATACCTTTACGAAGTACATTCATCCTTAAATATTATTAATATGATTGCTATATCTGACTCCACTTTTAATATTTGATGCTGACAGAATATTTTTTTTTTCAGACAGGGTCTCACTCTGTCCCCAGGCTGGATTGCAGTGGCACAATCTTGGCTCACAGTAACCACCACCTCCTGGGCTCAAGCCATCCTCCTGCCTCAGTCCCCCAAGTAGGTGGCACTACAGGCATGAGTCACCATGTCTGGATAATTTTGTATGTTTTGTAGAGATGAGGTTTCACCATGTTGCCCAGAATGGCCTCGAACTCCTGAGGTCAAGCGATCCACCTGCCTCCACCTCCCAAAGTGCTAGGATTACAGAGGTGAGCCACTGCACCCAGGCGCTGGCAGCTGGACAAGCTGGTCAGAATGCCCATTAGGGTTCCTTTGGCGCTGGCTCACTAGTTGTACTCTCTAACTACTAAAACACCTAACTCAAGCCAGCCTGGACTTATTTGTGCCTGTTCTCCTCTCCCTAGGTTTCTCTTGTGTGAGTACTAAACTTTGCTGTGTATTTCTTTGGTGTGCAATGTTATCAGACTAAACTTTCAGTTTATTAATTGGGAGGGGATCTAGCTCATCTCCATAGGTGACCACAAAATAAAGATACAAGTATCTGTGTGATATCCCTATGTTTATCTCTCAATGATGTAGTAATAAAAAGGGAGGAAGTACTAGAATATGAAAAAATAGGAGTAGTTCCTCCAGCAAGGTCACACAAGAAGTACTATGAACCCAGATGAAACAAATCCCTCATTTTCCCGTTTTTCTATTATTTTAGCACAGTAGATAGAAACTTGAAACGATGCTAACATAGATATGTTTGGTAGGAACCTTTAAAATGAACTAAAGGGAACCTGTAGAGAGACATTATTCTAATATAGGAAACAGGCCTACTTTCAAATTTATAACTATAACTACACGGAAGAGCTACTCATTGTATCAACTACCCTCTGTGTTTCAGAAAGACGGCACCTAGCTAGGTTCAAATTAATCTAAAACCAAGCTACCAAGAGAGTACCAATAACTTTTTGTCATCATCAAAATTACTGAGGCTTTCCACATGTATTCAGGAAGATTAATTTGTCATATACCTAAAGGCCTAAAACTGTTGAAATGTCAGATATGTAAACCAATATACAAACATACACATATATGCATATGTAGATCTCACTGTATATACTTTCATATGAGATATTCATTAAACTGGGATCAATAGATCAATATCCTCTCACTTTACTATGATTAGACATATAAATTTGTACAGTTAACATAAATTTAAAAAAAAATTTATTTCATTGTGGAAAAAACACAGTATGATAGCTCCCCTACTAATACATTGTAAGTGTATAAAACATAATGTGAACTATCCACACAATGTTGTTCAGAAGACCTCTATAACTTCTTTATATTGTACAAATCATATTTTATACCGCTAATTAACAATTTCCCATTTCCCCCTCTCAGCCCTGTCAACCACCATTCCACTCCCTTGATTCTATAAATTTAACTGTATAAATGGAATCATGCAATATTTGTCCTTTGGTGACTAACCTATTCCACTTCACATGATGTCCACCAGGTTCTTCATGTTGTCACATATTGCAGAATCTCTTTCTTTTTTAAGGCTGGATAATATTTCTTGTATATGTCACCATTCATCCATCAGTGGACATTTAGGTTGCTTTCACTTCTTAGCTATAGCAAATAGTGCTACAAATAAATATGAGAGTGCTAATATCTCTTGAATATTCTGATTTCAATTCTTTTGGATAAATACCCAGAAGCAGTGGAATTGTTGTATTATATAGTAGTTCCATTTTGAATTTTTTGAGACGCCTCCATGCTGTTTTAAGTAGTGGCTGAACCATTCTCACCAGCTGTATGAATCACATACTGTATTCTCACCAGCAGTATATTAGGTTTCCAATTTCTCCACATCCTCACAAACACTGGGCCTTTGTTGTTTTGATAATAGCTATCTTAACAGATGTGAGGTCATAGTAATGCCAAGGCCAATGTCATAAAGTTTTTATGTTATGTTTTCTTCTATAAGTTTTACAGTTTCAGATTTTAAGTCTTTATTTTGAATTTTTTGTAATGTGATACAAGGTTCAACATTTTTCTTTTGCATATGGATTTCCAGTTACCCCAACACCATTTGTTCAAGTGGCTATCCTATCTTCATTGTGTACTCCTGGCAACTTTGTTGAAATTTAGTTGTCTGTATATGTGTGGTTTTATTTCTGGGCTCTCTATTCTGTTCCCCTGACCTGCGTGTCTGTGTTTATGCCAGTACCATATTATTTTTAATTGCTGTAGCTTTGTATTGCTTGAAATCAGGGAATGTGATGCCTCCAGCTTTGCTGCTCTTTCTTAAGATTTATTTGACTATTTGGCATCCTTTTTTGGTTTCATATGAATTTTCGATAAATAATTGCTATTGAGATTTTGATAAGAATTGCACTGAATCCATAAATTGCTTCAGTTAGCATAGACAATTTCACAATATTAAAAATTCCAATTCATAAATATATCTTTCCATTTCTTTGGATTGTTTAATGTTTCATCACTGTTTTCTAGTTTTTAGTTTATGAGTTGCTCATTTACTTAGGTTTAATCCTAATCATACTTTTTTGTGCTATTGTAAATGGAATTATTGTCACAGTTTCATTTTCAATGTGTTGTTAGTGTATCTAAATACAATTGATACATAAATATTGAATGTATATCCTGCAAGTTCTCTTAATTCATTTATTATTTCTGAAAGTTTTTAAATGGGGTTTTGACTGGTTTCTATATACAAGGTCATGTCATGTGTAAAGGGACAATTTCACTTATTCGTTTTTGATTTGGTAGACATTATTTCTTGTTCTTGCTTAATTACTCTAGCTAAGACTTTCAGTGCTATGTTGAATAGAAGTGGTGAGAGTGGGCATCCTTGCCTTGTTTGTGATCTCAGAGAAAAGCCTTTCAACTTTTTGTTACTGAATAAAATGCTAGCTGTGGGATTGTCATATTTGGTCTTCATTAGTAATTTCCTCCCAGTCCTAGTTTTGTTGAAAGTTTTTATCATAAAAAAGATGTAAAATTTTATCAAATACTTTTTTGTACCTATTGATATGATTGTATAATTTTTATCTTTCAATCTGTTAATATGGTGTATCACATTAGTTAATTTTGATATGCTGAACTATCTTTGCATCCTAAGCATATACCTTACTTGGTCATGGTGTATAATCCTTTCAAGATGCTGTTGAATTCCATTTATTACTATTTTGTCAAGAACTTTTACATCTATATTTATCAGGGATATTGGCCCATTGTTTGATTTTCTAGTAGTGTCTTTGTCGGGCTTTGGTGTTAGGGTGATGCAGGCCTCATAAACTTAGTTTGAAAGTGTTCTCTTCTCTTGAATTTTTGGAATTTTTGGAAAAGTTTGAGATTGTTCAAAAACAATCCTCAAACAGTAAGGAATGAAAATCTCTGAATGTTAGGTAGAATTCACCAGTGATACCATTTGGTCCGCGGCTTTTTTAAAATGGAAATTTGTTATTTACTATTATAAGCTTCATACTATATACAGGTCTTTCAGACTTTCTGTACCTTGAAAATTTAGTTTTGGTAGGATGTATGTTTTAAAAGTTTATTTCTTTTAAATTATCTAGTTTTTCGTGTATAATTGTTCATACATGTATCTTATGATCCCTAAGTTTTATGGCATCAGTTATAATGTCTGAATTTTCCTCTCTTATTTCTGATTTATTTGGAATCTTTTCCAGTTAGTCTAGAAAAAGGGTTGTCAACTTGTTTATCTTTTTCAAAAACAAACTCTTAGTTTTATTTTTTCTACTGTCTTTGTACTCTGTTTCTTTTATAATTTTATTATTTCCTTCCATTTGCTAGATTTGTGAATACTTTCTTCTTCTTTTACTAATTCCTTGAGGTATAAAGTTAGATTGCTTATGTAGCATCTTTCTTATGTTTCAAAGTAGATACATCACCATAAATGTTCCTTGTAGTCTGCTTTTGCTGCATCTCATAAGTTTCAGTGTTTTGTTATTTTACTTTTATTTGTTACAAGTTATTTTCTAGTTTTTCTTTTAATTTTTTTCTTTGACTCATTGATTATCCAGGAGTGAAGATGTGTTGCTTAATTTCTTCTTAGTTGAAAATTTCCAGTTCTCCGTATGTTACTGATGTCTAGTAGAATTCAATTTTGGTTAGAAAAGATAACTTGGTATAACTTCAGATTTTATAAGTATATTAAGTCTTGTTTTGTAATTGAACATGTGATCTATCCTGGAGAAGTTTCCCTGTGCTTGAGAAGAATGTATATTCAGCTACTGTTGGGTAGAATGTTATGCAAAGATCTGGTATGTCCATTTGGTCTACAAATTCTCCCTGATTTAAGATGGGTTATGCCCTGAGCAACCAACTGTAAGTCAAAAATGCACTCATTACCTTAATTAAGTGTACCATGAGGTCAAAGTATTATAAGTCAAATCATCATAAGATCAGATTCTCCTCTTTTTACCATGGAGTTAAGTTCCAAAAAACACATGGTAAGTTGAAAAATTAATTAGTAGAACCATCGTAAGTTGAAGTTTGTGTGTATATTGCTGCTAAAGGTTGCTATTTTATTGATTTTCTATCTAGTTGTTATATTAATTATGGAATATGAACTATTAAAGTCTCTATTATCATACTGCTATCTATTTCTCCCTTCAGTTCTGTCAATATTTGCTTTAGAGATTTAAGCGCTCTGATGTTGAGTGCATATATATTTATAATTGTTATATCTTCCAGTAAATTGGCCCCTTTACCATTATGTCCTTCTTTGTCTCTTGTGACAAATTTTGACTGGAAATCCATTTTGTCTGATACAAGTAAAACCACTTATGTGACTT